GTGTCGAAGAGCAGCCAGACGGGGACGCCGTCCCAGCCGCACTGGATGGCGTACTGCGTCGAGGCGTCGGTGACGGCCGTGACGTTTTGGAACGACTGCCTGAAGCTACCGCCAGGGGATGAGGAGGAGGAGGAGGAGGAGGAGGAGATGCTGTTGCTGCGGACGCGGCTGAGGGCGGAGACGACGGAGCGCTGCTGGCCGGGGCGGCCCTTGATGCCCCTGAGCCGCGAAAAGCGCATCGTCGGGCGATCCTCGCTGGGCGCCTGGAGGGCCTTGGCCCGCTCAAAGCTGAGGCCGTTCATGGGCTTGGCGAGGTCCCAGTCGGGGGCATGGCGGCGGACCTGGGGGAGGTTGGTGGAGGATGCGGTGGCGACGAGGGTGAGGAGGGAGAGGGCCCATTGCGTGATTCTCATGATGAGTTGTGGTGCTGATGGACAAGTTGCTTTTGTTGGGAGTGATGAAGAGTGAAGGATAGGGGGTGAATAGAAGAGATGCGAGAGAAGGATGGTCGGATAGAAGAATGACAGTGGTTGGAGAAACAGAAAGGACGATTGTTTGGGCCTGACGAGGAGTGTAGAGAGAAGAGTGTCGTAAGAGAGAGAAGAGAAGAGAAGAGAAGAGAAGAGAAGAGAAGAGAAGAGAAGAGAAGAGAAGAGAAGAGAAGAGAAGAGAAGAGAAGAAAAGGTCATCAAGGTGTCGAGACGAAAGCAAGCACACCATGATAAAAGAAAAAAGGAGGGGCCTAAGTCCTGACACTCCTCGACAGCTGGCAGAACAGAACAGCCCTCCACGGCAAATAAGACAACAGACCGCAATGTTTGCAGGCCACCTTGTTTCACCCACACGGGCTGCCTTTTCGTGTGCAAGTGAGCAGCAGCGGGATAGGTGAGAGAGAAAGAAAACCCGGACGGCCGTGTCCTCGACGATAGGAGAAAAAGGGGTGGGGGGGAGATGTTTGCTTTCTGTGGACGGGGGCGGGAGGGAGGACGTCGTCGAGTCTCGGGACGGGAGAGGGTTTTTGGGTGTCACGTTGGTCGAGTGTCTGTCCGTAGGGATGGTTTGCCTCGGAGTGAAGTGAGAGTGTTGACAAAACGTCGAATAACCGTCATGATAGGACAGTCAGAGGAGTGAGTCACTATGAAGACTGATGAGGGCAAATGCATGGAGTTTTGAAACGATGCCTTAGAAACAACTCGTCAACCACCCTGAATCTCCGCAGCAGAAACTCCCCTACACGCTCACAAGATACAAAAATCAGAAACATCACCTCCAACTCACAATAAACCTCGCATTTCTGTCTCGCAGCGTCAAGCCAAATTCGTCCCACAGTGACACCCGTCTGTCGAGCTCCCCCCTCCCTCGAGTCCAGAGGTTTGCTAACTAGGTACTACGATTTCATTTGTTTCCCGCTTCTTTTGGTGCCCTCCTGGTCCGGTACGACGGACAACGCGGTTCTTGTTCTTTCGAGACGCCAAAGCTAATTGGCCCCGAGTTCCCTCGTGAAAGAGCCCGCTGTCTCTCGGTGGCAGATCGAGTTTTGGTTGTTCTGGGCTGTGTGTATTGATTTGGCGTGTTGAGACCGGTAACGTGGTTGTGGCTCGAGAAACCAAGTTCGGTTCGACAGCAGGCATGTGCTCAACGACGTTAAGCTACATGAATAGAGAATTACGCTGTGCATTATCGTCAAGAGTCAATCTGAATGCTCATCGCTTCCTTACCGTCTCAGTAGTCTCAACCCCTTGTACAACCCCATCAAGCACATCAAACAGATATTCCCAGATGCTGCACTCGTCCAGCCCCCCTCCTTCTTCCACTCCGCAAGGCATACATCACACCAACCCTCGGACAAAGAAAGAAAGAAAGAAAGGTAAGCCCAAAACTACCCGAGCCGACCATCTCTGCCGTCCTCCTCACCCCCAACTCGAGTCATCCATCCATCCGTCCTTCCTCCCATTTAAGAAAGAAAAGAAAGAAAAAAAAAAAAAAAAAAAAGCCCGCTGCCGAGTCTTGCGTCCGTCACACATCGCCCTCGAAACATAGTCGGCACTCCCCGTCTCCCCCCTCCCCATCCCGCAAGGCACCTTTCATACTACATCCTCTTACAAAACCGCATTCTGTATCCCGAACTCGCTTATTCAACCGAGACAGCAAGTCTCTCCAGGTTTCTTCCCCTTGACCACCTCGACTCACAAAAAGTGTAGCCCGAAATGACATTATGTGATACACCATGACTATCTTCATAGCTACGAGAGTATCAACAAGAAACGGGTTTCTGGAAACAAACTCCATTCGACCTCGACTGCAGTTTACATAGCTTCACAGAATTCTACAACAAAAAAGGTCCCGATCCATAAGAAATTGCTCCAGTCCAACACCACCATCCATCTCACTCCTGACACCTCCCACTTTCAACAGTCATCATGACCACTCCAAGTCAAAAGTGCAAGACGCCAAAACACGTAGTAACAGAAAACCCTCTCCCAAACTCATCGTTCCTCAGTTGTTATAATGGTCGAAATAAGGTGGCCCCCCGTGCTCCGCTCTTCTACCAAATCAGAACCACTGCAAAGGCGGGCAACTGCGCTTCTCCACGGCCTTATCGTGCGTCTTTGCGGTCGAAAAGCCGAGGCTAAAACCCTCCTAAACAGCCGGTAGGAAATCCACTTCAACAATGAACGAGTTCAACAACGCTCTTCTCCAGAAAATACCGAATAGATAAAACACCATAGATACTCTTTTCATATGACATGCTGCCCTATTAAACACACACACCTTGTCTTATCAATCCAGTCAATTCCAACTCTGCATCGTGCATCTTGCTTGATATCTCATCCCATCCCCATCCCATCCCATCCCAGCCAGTCGCATCTCCTGCCAACCTGGGCTACCTCTGCGACACTATACTCTACCAATCCGAACACCAAAACGACGACGCAGTAAACCATCGACAGAACCCCCATCGTCGTCAACCCGCATACTCACATGCGCCCCTCTTTGATAAAGAAAGCGATATGCCCTCCCTCGCCACGTCCGCTCCCCTGCCGCGCGTGCTGCTCCGGCACATCCATCATCCGCGAGCTGCTGTAGTCCGTCTTCGCCATGTGATTCCCTCTTCATCCAGGTGTGCGGTGCATCTGAGAAGCCAAGGGCCGGAATTCCCTGTCCATCATCGCTTCTTGCACGGTCCTGCTGCTGCTGCAAGACCATCATCTGCGCCTCGCGGAACGACTCATCCCACCACCCAGCTGAGAATGGCCGCAACAAAGACACCGGCTGCAAAGAAGGAACCGCCCCTTTCATACATGGAGCATCTCAGTCCCTCCGTATCCTACTACAACCCAGCGTCCGTCAACCACAACGATGCCAACAGCAGCAAGGACAGCATCGCCCCGGGTTCCAAACCCACAAACGGCCACCCGGAACTCATCCTCGTCCTCAGCTGGATGGGCGCCCGGGACGTCCACATAGCAAAGTACATCGCCCAGCATCGCGCCCTCTTCCCCTCCTCGCCCATCCTCCTCGTCCGCTCGCCCGCCTCCCACGTCTTCTGGCCCAGCCTCGCCCGCAAGCACATCCCGCCCGCCATCCGCATCCTCAAGGCCTTTGCCGAGCCCGAGATCGCGGCCACCATCCCCGGCAACAACCCCAGGCCCAGGGTCCTGCTGCACATCCTCTCCAACGGCGGTGTCAGCACCGCCGCGCGCATCAGGGAGCTCCTCCGAAAGGAGCTCGGCAGGGACGCCGCCGGCAACAGGCTCGTCATTCCCCGTTACGCCGTCTGCCTCGACTCCTGCCCGGGCAACTTCGTGTGGCAGAGCACCCACAGGGCCCTTCTGCAATCGCTGCCGCGCTGGACGTCGCCCCTCGTGCACATGGTCATCGCAGTCGCCTGGTTGATATACAAGCTCCGCCTCACCCGGCCCGCCCAGAACCTCAACGCCGAAGCCCTCAGGCGGCAAAGCCTGCTTCCCAGAGAGACGCGGAGGACTTACCTGTACGGCACGGCAGATGCCGTCATCAGCTGGCAACACGTCGAGGATCATGCCACGAGGGCGCAAAGCTCGGGCTTCAAGGTACGCAAGGAGAGGTTTGAGGGTGGAGAGCATGTGTCACTGGTGAGGAAAGACAGCCAGCGGTATTGGCAAGCAGTCAAGGAGACGTGGGAAGGTGATGGGGCTGCATTTGAAGCGGTAAAGACTAGCTAGACAGGTTGTGATAACAGGTGAGAACGCTCACAGGTAGGCGTTGCGATGAGAAGAACCAAGGCATTGGATCAAATATAGAGAGAAAGGAAGAAGAAAGATAAGAGGAGCATAGGAAAGAAGCTCTCAAATGGCGGCACGTCCATAGACGTGTTTCTCGAATAGAAAGGTAGACGTAGGTATGAACCGTGAAGCCGTAGATAATACTCCAAGTACTTGCTTCTCTGCCGGCAATTGCAAACGGATCATATCGTCTTTCTAAAGTTGCCCCATCAGTGCGCGGCATCGCCAGAAGAGAGCCCCCGAAGTGGTAAAGATGTAGGTTCCCGGTAAATCATCCCAACGCCGCTCTTTTTGAATGCCCTTTCAAGGTTGGTGGTGCAGATTTCAGAGCCCAAACTCCATTGTATGATCCATGAAAGTCATGTGTGTTGCCGACGTCCTCTTTCAACTCCGCCAACGCCTTTGTTTTTTTTTTAGTACCCAGCATATATGCATCTCCCAGCACTGTTGAACTGGAAAGAAGACAAAAAGAAGAATGAAGAAGAAGAAGAATGAAAGAAAAAGTGTAGAAAGTGTACGTCGTTTTGCTCGTGAGATGTTCGATGCAGAGTGTCGGTTCATATCGAGGTGATTCAAGTCTTGGCCTTCTTCCGCGAGCTCGTCGAGGGGTGGTCATCCTCAGCGACTCGCTTGCTTTGGCTTGCAAGGCCCTGCCCTGCCTCCGCCTCCGCCTCTTCGCCAACGTCGCCGACTCCTTCGTCCTCCTCGGTACACCGGTCACACTCCTGGTCGAACTGATGCCGTTCTTCGAACACGCCGTTTGAGCAGTCCCCAAAGATTCCGTTGTTTTTCGCCTGGAGACACGATAACTCCTGCGAGAGCTCTTCCCATATCTGGTCCTCGCCGCACTTGGTGCAAGTGCCGCTGAAAATGACCAGCCGACACATGACTCTGAGATTCGAAAATGAGGGGGTGCGCAGGTGTGATGAATAGGGCTGATAGATGTCTACCAAGGGGCGATTTGCCCATCAATAGAATGGTTTCGCGTGGATCCCGGGCCTCTTCAACCGGGGAGCAGCAAGCAAGCCACCAGACCTCCTTTGCATTGAGACAGTGCCGAGCGACGTGTTGTAAGAGCTTTGTAGATAGATTTCAGCTCCAGCTCCCTCTGCAACTCATGACGAACAGAATTCACATTGTCCAAACATCCAAAGGCGGTGGGTGAGGGGGGTTTCATACCGATCAACAGTAATGTGTGTTGGTAGCACCTACGTCCGTTGCCGTCGCACACGGGCCTCCGTTCAATTCTCCTAGATCGAGGGTGAATGGGCGTGGCTTTTTTTTTCCTTTGCCCCTCAGCCGGTGGACTGCGTTGGTCGGAGGCGGATGAATTCTGTGAATGTGAATAAAAGCCTCCGAAAAGCCTTTGTTGCACCAGAAGCCTGCGTCGCAAGGGAGGAGTCGGGCGTCGTCAACGTCGCACAGGTGACAAGAAACGGCTTCTTCCCATTTGTGTTAGTCCGCAGACAGACGGGTTGCGGCATGCAACAGATGATGTCGCTCTGGAAGAAAGGGTGAAGAGAGAGGAAATGAGGAGAGGCCAGGGGGAGGATGAAGGAGAATGGATCGGTGCAAAAGATGGCGGAAGGCGATGAAGAAGACCAACCAACCAACCAACCAACCAACATCCAAGCCCAAGGAGGGATCTGTGTGTGCATAGTTGCATACTTCGCGGATCTTCCTCCCAGATTGACACAGCGCAAGAGGCACCTCTCACACATACAGCGACAGAGGACGCGGCTAACAGCCCGCCTGCATGCTCTGTACGTCGCTCCGCTCACTTCGAGATGGGGGCCGCCGCAACTGCTGTCATCTGTCATATCCGTCCATCCAAGCCCACCACGTAATGAGTGCACTGCTGGTGCAAGCACACAAGTAGTATTCGTATGTACTCGTATGTTGGCAATAAGAGGTGGGTCCCCGGGCTTGCAGTGGCTTCAATGTCGACTTCAGAGCATACCAAGATGCGTCGGCTAGGTCTGCTCGAGGCATCGGAACAGACGGTCACAGCTCAGGCAGGGAGTCGACGACAACGGGGCCGTCACGGCGAGATGAGACTGCGCTGGAGTCCGTCCATATCGCAAGGCTTCGCTTGCTGGGTGTCCTCGGCCCACGCAATCTGGACATGCATATAGTAGATCTATCGTATCCTCCAAGGCCTCTCTTCCCTCTTTTGCTCCATAGTGTCCAGGTCGGGGAGTGGGTGCCGTCTTTCTTGCATGCAAGAGTTGGTCCATTACAAGTAGTTGCATGCATAGCCCAATCAAGCCATTGCATGTCTCAAAGCGCGCGCTCGGGCACCTCATGACTGAACGGGCTTCTACTCCGTACCGGACTATCGAATAGTAGTAGAATACTTGCCATTCGCAGGAGGCCGTGGTACCGTGGAGCATCAGCGCAAGGGCACTTTCTACCCGTGTCTCATTCTGTCCAAAGCAGTATCACGACAAGCACGGCCCAGGAGGCACACTTGTGCTCTCGTCACCTGCATCTGAGTCGATCAAAAGGCAGAGAGAGCTGGTCTGACACGGGCTGCCAGCACCAAGTCTCTTGGAAGGGCAAATAAGGATGCATCGTCGAGCTGCGGCGGCCACGGCGAGTCGTGCAGGAGCAGTCGCAAAGAGGGCGGCCTGTTCCGATTCGAGTCAAGGGATCGATGCAAAGCTTGGTGGGTGGAACCGCAGCGTCCGCCAAGGGTGCCATCGGATTCCTTCCGCAAGGCGCCTCGGACGGGGTGTAGCGTTGCGCGTAAAGAGGGGAGGGCACGATGCAGGCGATAAGATCTCTGGCCTCTCTCAATCCTCTCCCGCTCTCTCTCAATCTCTCTGTGACCTGAAGCCGTTCAGGGCTGGCGGAGATGCGGGATGTGAGGGGAAGCTCGGCGCCACCATGCCTGTGCGGAAAGTATGCTTCGTACGCCTGCTTGTGCGTGCTTGTGTGTGAGCTTGTATCACTCCCGATTCACAGCTGCAGAAGCAATGGGCACAAGAGCGGTAGATCGGACCACCAGATAGATTAGCGACGGGTGGCAGAGGGCCAAGTGAAGTGGCAGGGCAGTTGCGTGGTTCAGACAGACGATCTCCAGAGTGGAGGAGCATCAGCCAGCAGGCCAGGGGTCGGGGTTTCTCTGCGTCGTACCGCAACGCGCCTCGCCAGCGTGCATACAAGCACCTGTGGCTTCTTTCGACGCAATGGCAAGTTGTAGCTGCGGCTGGGATGGAGCATGGCGAAGCAGATGCAGCAAACTGTCTTGATGTGAAGTAGGTAGTAGAAGCTGGAAGTTGACCTCGATGCTAAGGCAAGGTAGAGCTCTGGCATCTTAGTCATGGCACCACTGCTATCGATACCCTCCATCACCTCGCTCATCGCATCGACTTGAACTCCAACATCGCAGCATCAACATCACAAGGCACTCAATGATTCTCACAATCAAGCTGAAACCTCCCCGATCCGTCCCGATGCGATGTACCCATGCCGCTCAATCCTCCGTACCGCCAGTATAGTACTACTACTACTACTCACATCTCTCTCTCTTAGACTCCGATTCCCACTTCTGCTCGCCAGATGCCGCATGTCTCGCCCTCTCCTCCCCATGCACCGGGACCCTACCGCTTCACGTCCCTCTCAACCCATCCCTTCTCTTGTGGCAAAACTGGTTCTACCTCTTCCGCTACCAAGAACATTCCTATTCAAGACGCAAGTGAAGCATAGACGAGGTCACATGCAGCCGGGCCATCTGCGGCCTGATGAAGCGGCCAGCCAGCCAAGATGCCGCCGCCACCCATTGTCGCGACTTGTTCAACAAGGTGGCAGGTCAAACAAGGAGGGAACGGGTGCTGATGATACATACGATGTAGATCCGCACACAGGGCTTGTATAATCCCGCTGCGTGACACCTCTTGAGGACAGCATTTGTGCAAATCCATCCTCGTACAAGTACGCTATACGTGTATCCAGTGACACACGTCCTCGTATCACTTGATTGCTTCGTGCAAGGGCTACGGCAAAGGAGACGCCCTTCCGCGGCTCTCTCAAGCCGTATTTAGCCCTAGAATACTACTACTACTACTACTAATCCTACCTCTCAATAACAATTTGTACTAACATTCATACCCTGGCCTCGAGGGGAGAGCTGCGCCTTGCATTGCATTGCATCGCATCGCATATACCATACCATCCATCTATCCACTCTCATACGTCCACCTGAAAAGGTTTCGGCGTCCAGCTCTGCAAAGCCCGAGACAGAGTCCTCTTTTGATCCATCCCATTTATCCAGAAGCAGCCTGCTACATATTACAACTTCCCCGTACGCGCCCGGGCTCCTCGTCTAGAGGCGGCTCTCGACCTTTTCCAAGCACATCACACCTTGGCATATGCCGGCCAGCAGCTGCTCGAGGCACAACAGTAGACGGATCAAGGGGCAAGACAAAGTGATCAGAGACACTCGAGAGAGAAAGAATATTGAAGAAGGAAAAGTAAAAAAAAGACTTACACCGCTAACATTTGTGCTAGAAAATATGACAGGTTATCTCGAGGCGGCGCTCTTCTTGCCGCGACTTCGACGGTTCTTCTCCTACCTCGATCGGGAATAACTTTTGCAACTTTGTGTGTTCGTAAATGGACAGGAATTCCATCATTCACGGCTCCCATCGGCCAATATAGTAATACACTGGCAGGTACCATGTCGAGATCATACAGGTACACATCCCCATCGAAGCTGCATATCCCGTCTCCCACGATTCCTTCACATCATCCGATCTCCAAATCACCCTAAATGGTCCCCCCTTTCTCCCCAATGAGACCTCGCCGGCTGCTCCTCCCAGCACCTCCCGATTGGACGCCTCTCTGACTGCATCGTCCTCCCCGGTCACCAACTGCAGTTCCTCGCATGTATCTCACACCGAATGCGGTACATGTGGACCAGATGGTTTCCATCTATCAAAGAGTTGCTTCACGGTGAGCTGTGCATGTTATTCTCTTGTACAAAGGCGGATATATTGCAGTAATGCAAATAATAGCTACTAGTATACAAACTGTGGCAGTTTCCCACCTCCATGCCTTGCCGCTCATGCTTCGCCGCTCTCTGTCAAGGAGAAAGAGAGAGCGCAGCCGCTTCTGATATCAGGGTCATACCGCACCGCATCTGAGTGAAGAGAAATATAAAGAACTCGAAAACAAAAGGGCAGAGATGTGCTGGCACATCCCGTGCAAAGCCTCCGTCAACAGGCCCAAGAAAACGGAGGAAAAAGAAAAACAAAAAAAAAGGAAGAACAGCAACGCCCCTTCTCGTCACTCGACTTGCCCAAGCTGTTTCCTGCTGGCGGATGTCCGCAAAGGTAGGCAAAAGAGGTCCGGCCGAATTACGTATATCGCGCAGGTGAATGAAAGGCGAAATGTTGATCCAGAGGCTTGTTTGTATTTTTAGATTTCGTTCTTGGTTCTTCTTCCTCTTCGACTTCTGCTTCTTCTTCGCCTTTTTGTCCTTGGCCTCCTCTCCTTGGTCTGCGCTGTTGGGTTTTCGTGCAAAAGTCACCTGCATTCGTGACACGGTTGCCATGTTCATGAGCCCGATATCAAGCACAATGCAATGGCAGCATGGTCCGCGGCGGACAAGAATGCCTTGATCGATATGCATGCATAGCAAGGAAAAGACACGACATTCTTGCAGCAATAGACCAACCCATGGCGAGCAGCAGCATCCTGACACATCAAAAGCGAAGCCAAAAGTCACAACTCCGGAAAATCCACGCCCAGTTGCAACATCCCAATTCAGTCAGAGCAGATGCAGTCTTGTCACCTGGCCCTGTCAAACTTGCAGTCCGTTTTCCTGGAACATTGACCTCAGCACCACGAGTGTACAGAGGCAGTACGGGAGTCAAAGGACATGGTAAGCAGGGCGTGGACGTCCACTCGTGCAAGCGGAATGGCAGGGCTCCATGTCAATTCTTTGGCCGCCGGACAAAGTAGAAGAGAAAGGGGGGGTATACGTTCATCATATTAGACGGGCCGTAGAATCGGACGGGAGTTTTTATCGATCCTCGAGAAAGGGAAGAAAAATTGGGGGTATAAAAAAAGGTGAATACAGACGTTGGACTCCATAATAAATAGCGTCATATAGTCGTGGGGGTTTTCGTTGATTTTCGCTTTTTTGTTGGGTGGGGTTTTTTTTTCTTTGGTGATAGAGGTTTCGGCCGGGAAAGGAGTCCGAGAGGTGGTGCTAGTCAGGATCATGCATCTTCATGAGGTGCTGCGTCTGCGAACGTATTAAGCCAGCATCCAGTGTCAAGGTCACACCCAGTCACGATAGCACGCGGCTGCTTGCCGTCACACAAGCATTACTGGCCTCCAGGAGGAGGAGCTCCGCCAGCAGGGTTCTGAGACGTAGGAGCTCCTTGCCCTCCTTGCTGCTGCTGCTGCTGGTACATCAAGGACTGATACCAGAGAGCCACGTAGTTTTGATAACCACCATCTGCCGGCATTGGTCAATAAGGGTAAGGCCATGGGATTCAACATTGAATAGGGGCGGACTTACACTGCGCGTATGGATCTTGGCCATCGCCTGTAGAAGCCTGCGGAGGCTGGTTAGTAGTCGCATCCGGGCCCTGGTGAGAGTAGCTCGGTCGATCATCATGCGGTCCACGGCCACGGCCGCCACCTGGGCCACCACCGCCGCCGCTCTTCTGTCGCTGCTCAGATATCAATCAGTCTGGATGTTCATCGAAACAAGGTGCAAGGCGTCGCCATCAAACTCACCACTGCTTCTACTTTCTCGTCAATGGCCTGCTTGGCGCGAGCGATGCTATCGCGGGATCCGATGAGCGCAATCTCGCGCTGAACTTCGCCGGGGCCCGATGACTGCGCCACATTGATCTTGCAACCGGTCGAGTTCTGCATCTCCCTGATGGTCTCGCCTCCTTTGCCGATAATCATGCCAACTGCATCTGACGGCACGTAAATCGCATCGTTGATCTTGTCGGGACCACCACCACCACCACCACCACCGTAATCCCTCGACGGTCCATCGTTGCGAGGAGGCCCCGAGGGTTTCTTGGTACCAGAAGCCGGGCCGTCACCTCGGCTATCACTGTCAACAATCTCCATGATGAAGTCCTTGGCTCGAGCGGCCGCCTCCCGGCTGCCAATGAGGTTGACAGGTCGCAGGCCGTTGACGCTCTTCGATTCGCCCACGATGTTGATATGGCAGCCCGAACGCTCCTGAAGATCTCGAATAGTCTCGCCTCCACGTCCGATGATGAGGCCGACAGTGCGATCTGGGACCATGATTTGCATATGGTCCTCACCATCTCTCAACGCCGCTGCTCCACCTCGGGCAGGGTCGCGTGGCTTTTCCTGGGCGCGGTTGAGAGCGCCCATGCCGCTGTCCTCAATGATTCGGTTAATCGCCGTCTTGACTTCAGCACGACGAGCCCGTGGGCCGGTGATCTTGCACTGGCGAAAGGGACCGCCATCGGTGGCGGCCAGAAACTGGACACGGCAGTTGGTGTCGGCTTCGATCCGTCGCAGATTCTCACCCTGTCGGCCGATGATGAGGCCAACAAGGCTGGACTCGATCTGGATCGTCTCAGCGTTGTCGTCTCCGCCTCTGAGGGGAGATCTCTCGCGGCCACCGCCTCCGCGAGGCGAAAAGGTGCGGCCACGTGACGGGGGAGAGTAGGAACGGTCGCGGCCATACTCTCGACCCTGGCCTCCACGACGATCGTCCCGGTATGAGCCGGCAGTATGGTAGTCGCCGCCGCCTCGAGGAGGAGAACGTGACCTGGATCGACGGAAAGACCTGTCAGAGCCTCTGGATTCGGATCCGTAGACAAGCGGGCGGTCGTAGGGCGTGATGCCCTTCTCGGTCGCAAAGGCCCTCGCCTTGGAAATCACCTCTTCGAAGTTCATCGTCCCCGAGTTGACGGGCCGAAGAGCGCTCAGGTCGACGTTGCCGCTGGACGCAGGAGCGGGCAGGGCAGAGCCGGGAGCAAAGCCCGCGACGCCTGGGGGCGGGGGTTGATACGACGCTGGCTGGGCGGTGCCGGGCGGCGCTGGATATGCGCCGGGAGCCGCTGGAGGCGTCTGGGTCGAAGTCGACGACGGTGGCCGCTGGGACGCTGGAGCACCGGGTTAGTTTGAAGTTTGGGGCCTCATCACAGAGTTCCTGGGGTCTCACCAAGCGCCGCCAGAATGCTTTGGATATCGGGATGTGCAGGCTCCGCCATGGCGATGAATCAATGCAGAATAAGTGTATGATGGAGGTCCCAAGCTGAGACAGAACAGTGGCTGTTACGGTACGTCACAGCGCGATTGACTGATGGGCAGCCAAGGTCGACAACCGGGGTCAATGGCAGACTGAACGTCGAAAGAGCGAGCGAGCGAGCGAGAGTACAGTGACAGCAATGTGACGATGAAAAGTGGTGGTAGTATTTTTGATTTAACACGGCAAAGGCAATGTTCACAGACTGGACGCACGCGCGCAATTTAAACCCGTGTGCCCAAATTGTAATCAGCGTCGTATAGCCTCTTGCGACCGAGTTGCAGCGATCTTTCGTGAACACAATGCGGCTTGCGAACAGAAAAACGCAGTTCAGGCACTATTATTAGCTGGGCTTGCCGCGAAGAAAGAAGAGCGCACAGCCTTTGTTGGGCCAGAGGTACAAAGGCGTCCAGGCGGTCGCAGCGCTGTTCCAGAGGAGTCGCCGCACTCGGATCGAGGCGAAGACAAGGGCGAATCCGTCGTCGGGGCTGTGAACGGTGGTGAGTGCCTCGAGGCTGGAGGATGTTTGGAAGGACTGGCGATGGCCTGCTTGATATTGATGCAATTTTTCGTGTAGTTCAAGGCAGCCGGATTAACGATGGGCCGGCGCCTTGGGGCTGAAATTTTCCAAATGCAAGCGTCTGCTGTCAGGTACTTACGGAAGTGGTATTTCGTACAGCGCCAGCGTTGGGCCGTTCGCTGGAACGCTGCAGCTTATTGGGGACGGGCAGACAGACGGACCAGGACCCCAGTCGATCATCTGGTGGTACCTGAAAGAAATTGAACGGGCAGAAAAAGGCCTCGAGGATTCATTTCAAGGCGGTTCTCAGCTACTGCTTTGGTGCTTGTGCTCCGTTTGGGCTACCACCTTGGCATTAGCCGTAATTGAGACGACCGGCGACTTCGAGGGACGGGTTCAGCTTGGCGGCAGCAATTAATCTCCCTGCTGCAGGTTCATCTTGTTCAGCATCACCTTTGAGAGTGAAACAGACAGGCAAACAACCTGAACAGGCCGAGATTGTCATGTCTGCACGATATCAGATTGACAAGACGATACGTGCCATGTGATTCCATTGACTGATGACATGTCATTCAAGTCCGAACTCAGGCCACGCGCCAGACCCATGGCAAGCACCGAGAACGAACCCCACGGCAGGCAAGGGCAGAGTATATCCATGTTATACTTCGTATCCATGGATGCCTTCTCACTTAGCAGCAATACATACAGGCAACAATTGAAGTCACATGCGCCGGCAAGGCACTTGATTGAGACAAGCTGCGGAATTTGCTGCGTAAATCCTCGTACTCGTACTTTATGACTGTACGTAATGATTCGGGGCAGAGAGCGCCGGCAGCGTGCCAATCGATTGAGGTGAACATATGGAAGCCCAGGTATTAGGTAGACCCCGAGGTTCCTATCAACCAGTGCCCGTAGGCTGTGCAGTACTATTCGTCGTAGCGGCGCTGCTAACGCGCATACGATGCGGTTTGACGCCTCGTGGTCTGGAGGACAAGACTAAACCGAGCGACGAAAAATTCTTTCCGCTCGGGCTGTAGACGATTCCCGACCGCGATGGATTACGCGCTTCTCGGACTCTGAAGCCGCGTGCATTATGCTTTTTGGGCCCAGGTCCAGGTCCGGTTGCCACGGAATCGGACAGCCAAGAGCGCGCTGAATCATCTTGCCTGGCCGTTGAGAAAATTCTAGCATCTAGGAGTTCCCTTGCGCGGCCCGAATAAATTGCTCGAGAGTGCCTGTGCTGGCAAGATCGTTGCACCATCTCCGCCATTTCTCTTGCCCCGAGGTGTCGACTGCTATATTACCTTACCTTGATACTTGTATTATGTGCCTCGCACTCGTCCAGCATGAGGGAGCGCCAGTGAACGTTGACCTGACAGACTGCTGACCGACTACCATACCTACCAACCTACTGACCACTGACTGGCTGGGCTGTCTTCATGTTCCGGCTTTGACTTGCTCCTTGTATTACTGGGAGACAACAGCCTGGAAAGCAAAAGCACTCTCGCTATATATCGCCAACACGAGCACTGCCAACTGTGAGCGGCTGACTCCGCCATCGCACCGTTCGTCGTCTCTGATCAGCGTCGAACCCGCCCCAGCTTGCCGACCGCTTCCGGCAGCGAGCGGACAGATCCCAACCTCCAGAACATGTGCACACGCAACGTCATCGAGTATCGGTGCAAGCACCAGGTCTCCAGGGGCAACACGCGCTGCTACAACGACAACTGCCCGGGCCCGCGAATCGACATCACCACCGACGCCGAGGACTGCCCGCAGTGCGAGGGCAGTAAGAGGATACACTCTGCGCGGTGGTGTCCCATGGGCTGCTCGTGCAAGTGCGTCGTCATGTAACAGGGCCAAGCATCCACGCTGTTGGGGGGACAAGATTATCGACAGCTTTGCGCCCGAGGCAGCCGAGCTGCGTCTGTGCGGCCGGGACAGGGCCGAGTCAGTGTGCAACGCGGCAAGATGAAAGATCGCCGGGCTACCGTGGTGCTTGTTGCAGATGACGACTGGTGATGGCCTCGTTTACCGGCGGAAAAGGAGAGTCGGTGTTCACGGTTACAGCGGTTGCAGGACAGGAGCAAGGACAGCGTCGACGATGATGAAGACGAAGGCGAGGAGCGAGCAGGGCAAGAGGCCAGGATGAGGGTGACAGCATCATACGTCCTATGGACCACCACCAGCTACACCGGTCCAGGGCGTCCCATGGGTCGCTCAACAATCTCAGACGTTGCGGGGGAAGACTGAATGGTTCTGCACACGCGCTATACATGACGAGGTCACGACTAATTGCTCGGAGTTTGGTTGCATGAGAAGGAGAGCGAAAGGGTTTGGATACAGTTTTCTCTGCTTCCATCGGCGTTTTCTCCTCCCCGGTGACGATTTCCGATGCTCAAGAGATACCTAGCCTGTTTTGCATTTCGATATCATGGCGGATATGGACGTTAATACACACCTCAATATACAGCGATTGATACCTTGCCATTTGCTGTTCCTGTATTTACAATAATTGTCATAGTAATTAATCCACACATTGCTCCGTACCTATCCATGTTACAAGCAACTCCGAACCTCTCTGTACCTGATGCTACAATCCAACCACATACACTGATAGACATACAGACATACAGAGTACAGTACCTGCACCCGCTCACAGGCACGCACTCCATACAGTACTCCCTATCCGTACCTACTCCGTCCCCTCTCTGCATGCTCCATCACCAAGTCCGACAAGCGTGGTCCTTTTCCCTCTTGAACTTGCCAGGATGCACCAGACACTTGCTGATCCTGCTGGACCCCGCCTGGGGAAAGCCTGCCGGCTAAAGCAGGGCCTGCATGGCATGGCCTGACGAAGCCCTTGCTGACCCGTGGCCGCGCTCAACGTCTGTCCAGCGTCTCGCTAAGGTTCCCGAGCCTTGGACGCATCTGGATGGCCCGACTGTCGCATAGCGCACCAGCAGCGCTAGCTTCCACCAACTCCGCCCTCCACAGGCCGTTGAGGCCACTGAGCCACACGTGGCAGCACGCCAGCAGGCGCTAAAAGCCGCTCTCCGGCAGGGCCTACAGGGGAGCTCGGCCTGCGCCAATCCAGCCGCTCCCGCCGTCCTGCGATCTCCCCAGCGTAGCATCCGCAACTTCGTCAGGGCCGCCATCTTGCCGAGACATCGCCATTCGCCGCCAGTCAGAGTCGCTACACTGAGCCCAGTCGAGCTGCTTGTGTTGCCTGTGATTCTGCTTTGCCATGGCCAAGAAGGCGCGTCAAAGGATCAGCTATGGTGAGTCTCTCCCCGTCTGCATCTCCGGCTGCTCGCACAGCGCACATGCATGTTAATCAGCACCCCGCACGCGACCGCCCCGATCAGACGAACCACCAGACAGCTCTCGTCCTTGCGTCGTGTGCTGGGCGGCGGACCATGCACGAGAGCGCCCTCGAGATGACCTCGCCTTCCTGACCGGCTGCTGACTGCCGCTGTCTAGTTCTCGAGAATGCCAAATCCTCGGCAGGCGGCCATCGCCTCGGCGTCAATGGCCTGGCCGTCGATACCGACAACGCCATCCTGTAAGCCATCTGCGTCTGCCCGTCCCCCTCCCGTGGCTGCGCGGCTCCATGCTGTGCCTCAGCCGTATTGAAGAGCTCTGCTAACGTTCGCTCTTTCTTGATCTTCCGCAGATACTCTGGCGGCCGAGATGGCATGATATGCGCCTGGGACCTGAACCTCGACCTACGCGGCCGAAACGACGTCACCGACGATGCATCCGCGAAGCCGCCCAAGTCGGCCACGACGTTCCGAGCCCAGACACAGGCGCATATGCACTGGATTAACGACATCACCCTGGCGCAGCACAACACTGCCTTGGTATCGGCGTCCTCGGACCTCACCGTCAAGGTGTGGCGGCCACACTCCCAGGAAGACGGCGCGCGCGCTCAGAAGATTGGAGAGCACGATGACTATATCAAATGCGTCGCAACTCCTCCAAGCGACATGGGTGCCAGCTGGGTTGCCTCGGCAGGCCTCGATCGCAAGATTTGTCTCTGGGATCTCAATGGTGGGGGCAAAACGCTCGAGGTCAATGTCAACGGCGAGGAGGTCACCGAGAAGGGGTCCGTCTACGCTCTTGCCGTCGGCCGCAACCTCATGGCCAGTGGCGGGCCCGAGAAGACGGTCAAGCTCTACGATCCTCGCACCGGCTCCAAAGTCTCCAACCTCGTCGGCCACGTGGACAACATTCGCGCCATCCTGATCGACGACGTCGGCGACACCATTCTGAGCGCCAGTGCGGACAAGACAATCAAGATGTGGAGCGTCAAGGGCGGTCGCTGCATGTACACGTTTACAATGCACGACGAGAGCATCTGGTCTCTGTACTCGGACGATCCCCGCCTCGGCATCTTCTACAGCAGCGACAGGTCGGGCCTCGTCGCCAAGACCGACGTACGGGGCAGTTTTGAGGACATTGACGATGGAGTCAGTCTCGCTGTTGCGCAGGAGCATTTTGGCGTCTCCAAGGTAGTGGCTGCGGGCGGTTACATCTGGACAGCCACGAACCGATCGTCAATCAACCGATGGGAAGACGTGGACACAGGCGCAAACCTGCCACTCCCCGAGCTGTACCGCCGCCAGCGCGCAATGTCGTCCACGTCTACTAGAACCCGGCAGTCTACAGCAACGGCCCAACCACAAACAAACGGGTCGTCCAAGAAGGAGATTCCTCCCGAGTCGATATTGAGAATATCCAACACAGCGACCTTCCCGTCCCGCGGACCTCTAGACTCAGAATCAAGTCCCAATAATGACGGCTTGTCAAGAAAGGGCTCCGAAGTCGCCGTCGAGCAGCCGGAGCCGGAAATCAAACCCGTGCACAGCTTGCCAGTAGAGACGATAGAAGGTCAATTTGGCCTTTTGAAGCACAAGTTGCTCAACGATAGGAGGAGGGTCTTGACTTTGGATACAGCTGGCGACGTACTACTATGGGATCTGATAAAGGTACGTCTCATTCCTAACCGAGTCATCCTCTTGCTCGTTCGCTTCCAAAGCGTCCACCGCTTACAGCTACATAGTGTAAACCTATTCAGAGTTTTGGAAAGCAGCATCTTGAAGATGTCGAGAGGCAGGTCAACACACGAGAAGCAGTGGCGCCCTGGTGCTCGGTCGACTTGAGCTCCGGCAACCTCACCGTTGTGTTGGAGCCTTTCAACTGCTTCGATGCCGAGGTATACGCTGACGAGCTCGAATTGGACGAGCCCATTGAGTTTAGGGATGATCAAAGAGGTAGGTGGCGGCGATGCTTTTTTGCAGTCTCAATGTTCAAAGCAAGCTAACTTGCTGCTCCAGTGAGCCTCGGCAAATGGATCTTGCGGTACTTGTTTGCCAACTTGATTGATGAAGAAATTCGGCGCGACGAGTCGTATCGCCAGAAGCTCAACGAGGCCGTGAGGGAAAGACAAGCCGCCGGCCGAGCCGAAGCGCCATCGTCAATCACTCTGCCTGGTCCTGGCTTCTCTATTGGCGGTGGGGATCAGCTGTTGACGCCTCGCGCAAACATGCCTCATCTCCATGTGACTACCCCTGGCCTGGCCATAGGGCTGGCGTCGCCTGGTGCTGTGATGACGCTTCAGGGCGTGCCGGAGGAAGCTGTTGCCAGCCCCCTGGAAAGGGAAGGATCTCGTCCGTCGGCTGAGAACGACTACTTCACTTCTGCCGGCAGTGCGCCTGGTGCTGCCGCGGCAGAAACCTCAGAGCCAAAGACCTCTACGGACAACAGCAACGACAAGGGAAAGGACAAGGAGAAGGCTGCTGACAGCAGCAAGTCGCCGTTTAGCAGAAAGTTCCGAATGTCTTTCAGCTCCAAGAGAATCGGGCGATCGGCATCTCAGGCGACACAGGAGAAGCCCGTTGTCGTAGACGACAAGGCCGAGGAGTCCGAGTCATCCTCAAACCACGAAAAGGAGGTTGATGACAGCTTCTTTGGCGTTATCCAGAAGATTCGAAACGAATACGACAAGCAACTCGCCGAGTCGCCGAATAAGATTGTCGAGACTCGAGTGACACCGAGCTTGCCGGCAGATACGCCAGTCTTGAAGCTGCCACCTGGGACCAAGGTCATTATCCAGGAGGAAACGTCGGGTGGCAGTGCAAATCTCTACCAAGGGACTGTGGAGCACCTCGGCCGAGATGCCGACATCATCGAGCAAAAGGCGCCAATGTGGCTCGGTGACGTGCTATTGCAGAACATCATCCCCATGAAGGATCCCGTCAAGATATCATTCATCCTGCAACCCATGGACAACCTGCCTCCCATTGCCACGGATGGGAACAGCCGACTGAATGCCAACCGGATGCTGCGGGTGAAGAAGATTCTGGCTTACATTTCCGAGAGGATCGAGCCGGAGCAAGAGGAGGATCCAGACGCGCTCAAGCCGGAAGAGTACCTTGAGCTATACTGCAATGACCAGGTAAGTAAAGCGGGCAGTGGTGTGCTTTGCCTAGAGCTTGCAATGTCTGACGATGAATCTTTGCTGCAGCTGCTCCACCCAACGATGAATCTTGCCACACTCCGGACACATGTTTGGAAAGGCGGAAACGACATTATGCTCTACTACAAAGCCAACGGCCGCAAGGAGATCTTGCCGTTACCATCTGCCACCAGCGCGCAGCCAGCGGAGCCGGGCGCGTCAGCAACGACAGTCCCAGTACAGTCCGCAGGGGAGCCAGTTGGGGTCGTCAACGGCGTCTAGGCGCGGCGACACGCAATGATCGTTACGTCTTTGTTCTTTGTTTCTTGTGTTCGGCTTCCCCTTTCCTCTCGATTGTATGAACAGCGTTGTGTTACCTCTTATACGTGGTGTGCTTTCTTCTGTCTTCTCTCCTGGATCTCTACTATATCCATACCTGGAGGTGTATTGCTAATCCGGAGCATTTTCATCTTGGTCATATATTCCCCTGTCGTTTCCCTACAACAGATTATTGTATATAGGAGATACGGCATTGATACGCTGGTTTATTCTTACAAAGAGCCTCCTAATGTCCTCCTGTTTATACAGCCAGGCTGATATATATATATGTGTACATGTATATATCCATGACGTCCCGGCGCCCCATCTATATAGTCCCATTTTTATATTCATAAACTCTTTTGTGTATCCCCGCTCCTCACTCTTGAACACCGTGAGGCCCGTGTCATGAGTTTACATGCATGCTGTTCATGGTGTTGATCACCCACTGGTAACTCCCCAGGAATATCGCACCGCCGATGGATATCCACGTCACCCGCGGCGCAATGCCCGCAAAGAAGGGCCGCACACCTTCTTCCCTCGCCATGCGTCGAAACACATCCGCCACGGAAACCCTCTCCTTGGAAAGCATGACCCTCGTCTTGAGCACGTCCAACGGCGTCGTCGCCGCCGCAGCCACGCCCCCAGCCAGACTCCCGTACAGCGCGCTCTCCCCGGCCGAAACGTCGCCGCCGCCGCCGCGCCTCCTCCGGCCCCACGCCTTCATGGCCTCCCACAGCGGGAACTGGATGACGGTGAAGGGCACCTCGCGGAAGACGGTGATGCCCCAGCCGCGGTAGAGCTCGCGCCAGACGGCGGGCAGGCCGCCCGGGCCGATCCCGATCCGGAACTCAGAATGTGGGCGAGCGCGCGGGCGGAGGAGCCCCCGTGGTGGCCGGCCTGGGCGCGCTGCTTGACGACCTCTGTGGGCACGCGGACGGAGCAGGCTGCGATTTCGCCGAGCGAGGAGGCGAGCATGTGCGTCAGGATATCCGCGGGGACCCATGCGTTGACTGCTGCTGCATTATCAGGAGTCGGCATGGCTGCTGCGCAGGCGGCTGCTGAGGAAGCTCTTTGTCGTCTCGTACGTGCAGAAGAAGAAGGCCGCGCCGGGGGCGGAGCCGACGAGGGCGGAGCCGATGCCGCGGTAGATGCCGGAGAAGCCGCCCGAGGGGAAGAAGCCGGCCGAGGACTGGAGGCGGGTCTTGAGGGTGTCGAGGGGGAAGAGGGAGAGGTCGACGGTGGTGCCCGCGAGGGCGCCGGCGAGGAGGGCGGATTGGAAGGATGGCGAGGGGGGAGGAGAAGCCATTTTTTTATTTGATGTAAAGGGGCAGGCGTTTGAGGGGAATAGGTAGGAGAGAAAGTAATTAAGGGAGGGGGGTAAAAAAGGAGGGGCTGCAAAGGCCCGACCTTTGTGAGAAGGAGGAGAGCTCTTTGGTTTGTTGTGGTTTGGAGCTGTGAGAGGGAGGATTGGTGGTGACTCTTTTTTTGGGTGAGGTTGGCGGGATGGTTGGGTTATCGATAACCGGTCGGAGATGCGAGCTCTTTAGGAAGTTGGTAGCGTCACATACCGAGGTGAGACTGGCCTACCCTGAGGGGAAGGAATACCTTATCGACGACCCTTTTAAAAAGATTTGAACATTGTGTTAATATTGGTGGTATCTGGAGCGTGGCATTAGATCCGTAAGGGCACTGAATCAAATTGTCTTGTTCGATGATTGAAGCATGAATATAATGGAGCAACGGCTTCTAGGTGCTTTATGATGATGCCTACTTAACTTGTGATACAAGGACAAACCGTAGAGCATTCAACGAGAGACCAAGGAGTGGTTGAAAATATTGCTTTTCGGCATTCTAGCATTCTATACGAATGCCGTGACAGACTTGTCTCAATCCTGTAAAACTGCAATTTCTTATGCAGTCGTCTACATTAACATGTTCCCACGACGACAATCCCCATGCTTCCATGGTAGGTAATATTCACAACCACGCCCTCAAAACCATCAATCCCGAATCCTCTCCATCCCAGCTCACAGCCCGTCCCTCATGCTGGTCCCCGCCTTGCTCGTCTCCTCAGCAGCCTTCTTGGTCCTCTCCTGCAGCGCCCTCAGCTCCTCGGGCGTGCGCTCGCGCGACGCCCGGTCCGCCTTGACGGCCTCCTCGCTGTCGGACGCGAGCTCGGGCTTCCAGTGGCCGGAGCCCTTCTTCTGCTTCTCGAGGGAGTCCTTTTTGTGGTGGTCGTAGTCGACGTCGGTTTCTACAATTCACAGCCTTAGTCTTCGTCTTGTTTCTTTCTTTCTTTCCTTTTTCTTCTTTCTGTACTGGGGATGCAATGGGCGACTTACGGTTTGATGATTCCTTCAGGCCCAGCTTCTGGGTTGCTGAAAAGGCAAAGGTGCGGCTGGGGATGACGGTGGGCTGCGTGGTGACTGCTCGCACAGCTCTGGCGATTCGGAGACCTCGATAGGACATCATTTTGGAATGTGGAAGAAGAAGAAGTAGTAGTAGGGAGGAGATGATTCTCTTCTGTAAAAAACAAAGAGGTTCGTCAAGAAACGATCAATTGAGGCCGTCGAGTTATCAAGGGAGATGGATGATTTGATCTTGTAAGGAAGAAAGCTTGATGGAAGAACGGACAAGTTGAGTATTTAAAATCTCAGAAGCAAATTGGGCCAGGTAAAGGGAATGAACAACGTCATGTCACTCTCCACCTCGCCGATACAGCATCGCAACGTCACTGTTCCCGCACATCTCCAAGTCACTCCGGCGGTTGAAGCTACATAGTTCCAGCTCGAGGGGAGGGCCGAGGGCCAAAGAGAGGGCGCTGTGACGTCACCATTGCAGCATGCTGGGGAACCTGTCCGGTAGAAAGGATGAGGACGACTTGATGACTCGGGATTTGGATTTACCTCGACATTAATTGGATTAGATAGAAGAAGCCTTGAATAAAGCGAGGATTAGTAGCAATTGGCAATTAAACTTGGATAATCGTCGATATGCTTAATTTCGATCGGTAGATGCGTTCCCTCGTGGAAGCAACGCTGAGAGGTCAAGTTACGTCCAGTCTCGCCACAACTCAGCTCCAAATGCCTCACATTCACAGCAAGTTCAAGCATTAGGACAGTAGTTTGTTTAAGCATTCGTATATTCTCGTCCTGTCGGCTTTCAAGCCGCGGTATCTAAGCCACACGTGCGCCGTAATAAAACCCGGACACTCTTTAATTTCCCATGAAATTGCAACACCCGGGGGCCGCTTCAAGAAACCTGAAATCAAAAGGGCCCGACAAACCCCGACCCACGCAAAACCAGATTCATTCCTTCATATGGCTTTCCTCCCAACCACACGCCCAAGATGCTTCGCAGAGGGGGAAACAAAAGAATAAGCAAGTATAATGAAACATGAAAAAAGATCATTGTCTCTTTTCGTTTTCCCAGACGAGAATATCCAGTAACACATAGGCTCATTGTGGTGTCAGAGCAGCGAAAAGAAGAACCAGACAGGACGAAATCCACACGCTGCCTCCCACGAGGAGAGCAAAAAGGCTTGTAAATAAAGAGAAGATGGAAAAGAGCAAAACAAAAAAAGAGCAAGCCGCTTCCCAACGTTTCGATTCGCACACTGCGGCGCCGCATCAACTCCTCAAGAAATCGACTCAGCCCAACTCCCCATGGATCCCGGTAAATAAGGAAAAAAAATAGTAGTGAAAAAGAAACCGTTTCCAGTATGGTGATGCGCAAACAAGAACCGCTCATCTTTCCAGAACCCCGCCAGCCCAAGGTATTTCCCATATGTGACTAGACAAGAACAGCCGTGCCCCCGACGCTTTCGTAAGATATCGCCTTCTATATCTTTCCTCTTTTTTTGTTGTCTTGAAGACTTCGTAAACCCGTACAACCGCAATAAAGGGAGGAGGCATTTTATGTTGGTTTTTCAAAAGCAGGAAGGACACTCCGCTTCGAAGATGATGAGACGCCGGATGATCGTAAAAAGAGAACCAAATCCCACAACTCCGCTGTCGGTTACCGATGCAACACAATTAGAGAGAACTGCAAGGAAATCTGCCGTGATACAGGGGGAGAAGAAGAAAACAAAGAGACATAACGCCGTATGTGCCCAGCAGCCTTGATACCGCAAGGCGAGGTCGCAAGGGAAATGAAACAAAAAACAAGAAAAATGGTATCGATCTTTCTCAAGTCGCGCCGGTAGTATCCTCGTAAAAAAATCCTGTCGAAACAAAATCGGTGTATGGCGATTAGAAGTGCTTATACAAGGGAGTATGAGGAGGTGAAAGTGTGTGTGGTGTGAAGAGGATCAAGTTGTTCGGTTGGTGGGAGAGCCAGCAGCGCATGATCGGAACCAAGGCCGCACCGAACAATCCCAGATGTACAGAAAAGAGAAGAGTCAACAGCCTCGAGGAACCCAGCCCGCAAGAGAAGTGAGAAGATGTCACTTTTTGGTGTTTTTGTCATTTCCGCTCGTGCCCGCCAAGAGTGAAGAAAGGAAGCCGAATGTGAACATAGGGCGCAGTTTCGATATTTCTTCTTCTTCTTCCGACTATGCACAGCACCCGACAGCAGTGCTCGGGATCGTCCCCACGGCATGACGCCGTGGTAAGCCAGCCCGGTGACCGGGGGGCACGGACGACCCGGAGAGCACATTTACCATCGGCGGATGGGCTGCTGCTGCAGTCGGCCAGGCGACATTGACGGGGGAGGGCTGGGCATGGAAGCACCCGTGGCGGGGTTGACGATGGGAATGGCATTGCGGCCACGAGTAGCGGTGGGCTGGGCCAGGCGGAAGGCCACGTTCAGAGGCTGGACAGTGGGAGGGGGGATAAAGGGGGGCGACGATGAGTTGAGAGAAAAGGCGGGAGCGACGGTCTGAGGCTGCTGGGTGGGAGAGGCCTCGGGAGAGTTGCTGGCCAGTGACGAGCGCTCAGAGGCAGAGATGGAGACCAACTGTTGCAGCGGCGAGTCAGACCTGTACAGGCTGCGAGGAGGGGATGAATCCGCCGGACTCGGAGGGCTACTCACGTCGCTTTCGGTCAGCAGGCCCGGGCAGAACTCGAGGTCGTCCTCGAGGTCAAAGGACCGGCCGGCCTCGAATCGGTTGCGGAACGCCGACAGGGCCGCCGTGTCGGTGAGCTCCCTCATGCTGCGCACGCCGCGGAACTGGCGCTGCGGCTGCGAGACGTTCTGGCGAGGGGTTCTGCGGTTGCGGCTGCTGGTGTGGTGGTGCGAGACAGGGGCGGCGTGCGATGCAGGCGCATGGAATCCGTAGTATGAAGACATGGTGGCGAGTCCGCGGTGATGTAGCTAGTATCCGGCACAGGGGGACAAAGGCCGAGCAATGTTTGTTCGAGCTGCAGAAGCCGAGGCTGTAATTGTGAATGTGTGTGTGGTTTTGTGTGTGTGTGGTGTGTGCGCGTCGAGGGGCGGTCGCGAGAAGCGGTCGTAGGGCAATTTGATTAGAAGAGAAATAGGTAGACAGCAAAGTAAACAAGAAGTCGAGTTGCCGCTGGTTGTCGAGGTGAGTCGAATGTATATAAGAGTCTAAGGAGCTGGAGGATGCACGAGTTTATCTCGGTGAAGGGTTTCGATTTTTTACGTTGTGTGAAGAATGCTAAGGCAGTGAGGACAGGTTCGGGTTGGGGGGCGGGTGGTACAAAGAATTGAAGGGACAAGAAGCGGAAGGGTGGGAGGCAAGAAAACGGGAGCAGGGCAGACGAGCGGCCTTTTTGTTTGGTTGAGGGGCCCTGAGGAGGACCCGACAAGACCTGAGGAGACGCGAGCGGCGGCTTGGGCACAGCCTGTCGAATAAGATTCCGGCGAGCCATGATAGGCCGTCTTCGCCACCGGCTAGCGATTGGGCTGGCGTGCAGCAGCGCTACTGGCCACTGGTCCTGATCCTGGCTCGGGCCCAGGGTCGCTGGTTTTGGGGGGGTGCGGGTGCAGTGGCTGCGGTCGGGTGCACAGTGGGCGGCACTGTGGCGGGCTCTGGGTTCGACTGGGGCGCCTGTCGTGCAGGAGGCATGTCCTTTGTACTGTCGGGGTAGCATTTGGGGGAGATTGGGGCCTGGCACGGGGGGGAGCAAGACATCATAGTCAAGTGCGCAGTATTGCCTATGTATGCAGTAGTCAGCTATGTAGGTAGGTGGTATTCTTACTGCGACAGGACCAATATTGAGCTCGATTCCCAAGTTATTGCGGTGCCGTTGATGCATTCATGCTGCACTGTCGCGCCGTGAGAGTGCCAGCGCAACGATATGGCGAGAGGGTCCTGGCGAGTGTTGTATTGATACTGTATACGTGGACGCCTGTACTGGCGAACCTTGCTGGTCGCGGTGGGGACTTGGACCGTGCCAGCACTGTGGTGGCCACACTAAGAGCACACGATATCCGACGCCGACTGCCCTCTCCGGCGTCCCGAAGCACACACTGTGCTGTGCTCAGAGGTACCAAAGGCGGCATCCTCGTCTCCCCGTTCTCGTCCGCTTGCAGTGAGTATGGTGCTTCATACTTCGTACTGTAGGCCCAGGTCTCACCCAAGGAAAAACCCCCAGATTCTCGCCCGCATGGATTTGCGCGAACGCAGCAACTCTGCTGGTCTTGTGCACTCACATACATATCGTAGCATCACATACTGCTACGTGCACCCGTAGGTACAGGCTCTACAACTGACCGGCTGGCTGAGACACGGCGGCGTGATGCAGCTCTCAAACCAAGCACCCACAGCAGCCAGAGCCCAAAACCGCGCGCATCCAAGACCTGCCCACGGAGGACTCACATACTGTACACGCTCATACAGTGTCCGCGGCCGGCGAATCCCGGTATATACAGTGCGCCGCCAGGACGCAATTGGCAAACACAAACTGGAACAGGACCTGCCCCTGCGTGCCCAAGTAACGTACAGTACAAATGGCTGAAAGTTGTGCAGTACGTAAGTAGTCAATACAGGTATGTATTTCATGTCGAGGAAGTCATACTCACACAGTTATCAGCGCCCCATCGTCGCAACTGGAGTCCTCAATCCACAGCGTGTGCTGGCCCAGTACCAGCAGGTTGCGTGGCCTGCTGCGTGGCAGACAAGTCACCCGGCTGCGAGCAATCGATCCGAGCTCTGCACTGTACACTTGTCCGTGCGTACCGTCTGGCACGGCACAGTACGGACACCGTACACTGTGCTGCTGAGAGGAACGGGCCATCCACTCACTTCGCCAGGATCTTCCCACCCACAACCACCCCATCAACATCAACCCATCGCCCACTCCTCCAATCACACTGTGTTTGTGCCGGTGCCCTGTGCACAGAGAGACAGTGCAAAGACCAGCGCACACCCGCCAGCGTTGGGGCCCAGGATCTGCCCGCCTGGCCTCGACTAGGCCCCTCGTGGTTATGGGCGATTGGGTCCATTCCAGCTCGCCAACAACCGGCGTGATCACTTGACTGCCTCGCTCTCGCGCCTAGTGCGCCCGCGGTACTCCGTACGTTGAGACCTGCTGGCTCTCCGATCTCTGTGGCCTCTGCTGACCTACCGGGTGTGAATCCTGCAAGCGATGCCGCCTCGCCTTCGGCACCTGGTTCCGCGTGCGTGCGGAGAGCTCTTCACACGGAGATGCCTCGCGAAGGACGGTACGAATGGCCGGGTGCGAAGACGACGGGTACAGTAAGTTGGGATCGCTGGACAGTAAGATTGAAGCTGCTTCTTTGGGCCCTCTGCTGCCAAAACAATGTGCCTCGACTAATAACCCGAGGCAGCTTGTCAGCCTGCGCGCATGGAGTCGTCTCTTCATCGAGATCATGGGAAATTTCGCAATCGTTCTGGTCGGAAATTGAAGCAATCCCGGCCGACTCGTCCCTGGGGAGTAATTCCTGGACCGGCAACCCTGTAGGATTGCGGTTGGGATATTCGTCCTCTTGGAGCTGGTTCCCGCGTCGTGGCATCAATCGTGGCGGATTTCGAAGCAATCTCTGAGACAGGATTCATCCATTACTTTTACGGCGACGCTATCAATGGGTCTGCGTACTCTGAAGTTGCAGCTCCACGGCAATGGACGGAGTATCATACAGAGAATAGTGAGGTGAGTTATCTAATCCTCCGGTCTCAATCTCGGGCCCTGCTGGCCCGCATCTGCATGGACGGCTGCTACCGACATACTGGCTCCAGTTGTCAGTCAGCTTTTCCTATAACTTGGTTCCATGTTTATTTTTGTCTTTGTTTCTGCCGCGTGTGTGTTTTGATGATTTACATGCATATGTTTATTTTCTCGGAGTGCGAAAACATTGCATGCGTGTGCCGAGACATTTGCTGGATGGACAGTGTCGCTACAGTACTCCTCAACCACGCATACTATTACCACGGCTCTTCTACAGGGACGCAAATATTGTGTGTGTCGCATTTCTGACCTGGTTCAGCACGCTGGAAATTGCACACCCCAATATCCGCATCCGCCGGGGTCAGGCTGAGAGACGCATTCCGTTGCTCGCCTTGTCATCTGCCTCCATTCTTCGTACCTGCACCAGCGTCCTTCCAGGCTAGTGAAACTCAGGCAGCCCCTGGCAGGGAGAAGAGGAGCCGTCGACACCCCTGGATCCTCACCATTGACCCGCCGATGCACAATGATGGTGCAGCTTCACAGGCTGCTTCTCATTGTATCGTATGTGGTTCTGTGTCTGCCTTGTGCCTTGACAGAAGTCACGGCCGTTGCGTCCATTTTCGCGGAGTGGCCTTTCCCCGGCGAAGCATCACAGGGACCGATTCTCAGATGCGATACAAAACACTTCTTTCCCGTCTCCCGATCCCGATATGGAAGAAACGAGCGACCCCTTGCAAGCGGCCCGGCCGGCTCCAGACTTCTGCCCAAGCAGCTTCCAGGTCATCTTCACGCCCATGTTGTGTGAATGTGAGTGCCATCATCAGTCCACTCACACTTCGCACCCAAAACCTCTCACCACTATTCCACTCTTGGGACAAAGGTGGCGGCTTCTAGTAAGCCGGCTTGCTGCACAGACATCCACTGCCGTGCCAATGCGTACAAGAGTGCACTGTGGTCTGGTGGATGGGTGGCCAGAGGTGGAATGACGATGCTCAAAAAGGATGCAGACACAAGCGCCACAAGCAGCCAGGTTTCCTGCTCCATCAAATGACAGGTCGAACGAACGCCACTGTCGGCAGCCAGCCGGGTTGCTGCCAGAACGTGGCGGCAAAGCGACGAAATTCAATCTGGTGGATGGGAACCCTTTCCCGGTATTACTGCAGATCCCGCCTCTGCGTTGCTTCCCCCAACAAGAGACTGCGGCCGTCCAGGGCATTGCAATATCCATTCATCGTCTCTAGTAGAGGCTGGCCGTATTTTCTCGACAACAGCCTCTAATCCCTTGAACGGCGGAATAACGCTTGCAGGCTGATCATTTAGATACATACTCGAGGAGCCCAACTCGATCGACCACGGCTGGTCCGAGAAGACATCAACCCGCAGTGCATGCAATTCAGGTTTCACAGCTGCATTGGATCAAGCTTGGCCCCAAGCTGTTACACCGCGGCATCGATCTGCAGAGAGCTGCTTCGCCTCCCCCATGGCTAGCTGGTTCAAACTCCCAATGCGACGAGGCTTGGTTCTGGCCAATCTAATCTATCTCGTGAGGGGGACCCAACTGGCGGCCGGAGCCGTGGTGGCATTCGCAGCGCCCGTGAGCTATTCTTGAAGTCGGCCGTCAGATCATGCCATGTGTTTTGGCCACGGCTCGAAGGGGACGCCGTCATCATCATCACTGCTACCCTACCTGCCCATTGGTTTGCGGTGGTCTGCTTCGCTTCAGTAAAGACTCGCAGTAGCGCCCTAGCCGCTGGTCAGGATGCTCGTCTCCTTTTGCATGCAGGACAAGCACGAGCAAAGCTATGCTCGAATGTATTGCGCTTCTGCACTTGCCCTACGGTAGAGCCGGTAGCGCTGCGTCGTGCTGCAGACGCAAGCTTCCGCTTGTTGAATCGAGACGCCTTCATATCAAAACACTGCCATGTTGAAGGCGCTAAAGGAAGCATCGTCCAGCCACAAGCGCCGCCCTTCGCGCAAGTCAACCACTCAGCGGTGCCTCAGGTAAACGCCGGGTCGGCTCCGACGATGGGATGGATGTGTGGCCCGGCTCCTGGTTTGAGGACTGGCTAGCATCCTTTGTACGAGACTACATACTCGTACGCACGGCACATTGGCTTGCTCGCGCTCGCGCTCATGGCTCACTGCTCAACTCGTCTCGATCCTGGTCGACCACCGCCCTCATCTCAACTCCCTGCTTGCCTGCAGACACGCAGCATGTCATGTCTCGGAGCATTGCCGGATATGGCCCCCAGCCTGCCCTCATGTCTGCACAGTACATATTAGTACTGCGGCACAAGAAAGCTGACCATCCAGAGGGTCATCCCCAGAGTCCTAGATCGCCCGCTGTTTCCGGCTCGGTTGGCCGCTCCGTCTCGTGGCTGTTGCTTGCGTCCGGCATCTCTGGCTACAGGCAGGCCGTAGCATTGTCGGCATCTGCACCCCATAATATTACTCGAAGTTCGGATTCTGCACTCGGGCCACGGCTCATCGAAATTGACGTTGCGCGGCTTCGGTTGTGCCTGTACCTGTATGTGCGCCTAGTACGCACCTAGTTCCTGGCACGATCGATCGTCAGCTTATTGGGTCCTGTCTGGAGGCAAACTTGCCCATTCTCTATTTCTTCCATTTGGCCTTCTGCCAGGATTCTACCCTGGATCCGGTGAGTGTCCAGGTCTGTCCGGCTGCACTCCGCAGAGGGTCTACAGGGACGGCCTACTCGTACCTTATCTGCTTCATACAGTACGAAGTACCTGTACGCTCGTGCCTGAAGTGAGTGCGAGTATAGGATCGTACAAGTACTTTGTCCTTCGTACCGTGGCCACAACCAGAGCATCACTTTCAGGTCCTGTGTCTTTCCTGGCTGTAACCCTGGTCGAGCCCTGGTCGAACCCCCTGGAAAGAGCGGTGTGGCGGCAGGGGATAGAAAATGACTGCTCGTCCTCATTGGCCCAACCCTTGTCTAATGATGCCGATTCCTGCTTCCCGTTGGTTGCCTTGAGACTCGCCAGATGGAGAATCCCTGCACAGCTCTGTGGAGTTGTTGCCCGCATGTGGAGAGGAGAGACTTTGACGCTCTTCTGCAGTGACTTGTGGTTTGGGCAAGAGGTACTTTGGGATCGGCCAGTGTCTTGAGGTCAGGTACGTGCCTCCTGGTGCTCTGTCCAGGGCTTTGGCCACCAGTGGGCGGAGCGAGAAGAAGCTCCATCAGCTTCATGTACTCGTACGCGGTATTCAGCCACCAGCACAGCCCAGCCACAGAGATTTGGCCTCAGCAAACAAGTGACTTCGTGGCGCCGGGTCTCCCGCTCTCCCGCCATGCTGGCGGAGACGCGCAGAGCATTCAAGGTGTCCTGGAAGCTGCTCCTTTGGGCCACCACACGGGCTTGCCGACTGATGAGATGCGGTGCCCATCATGTGGTGCGCAGAGACCCGACACTGCAGCTAGGCAGTTCTGGAATCTCCATCCCACGTCCCGGATCTCAAGTTCATCTCTCCACTTTCAAGCTCAAGATGCTAAATTGACTCACGCTTGCCTTTCCGTCCTCTGCCCTTACATGCGGCCCCCCGGGGGTTCGTGGGGTGACGTAGGACGCAAAGAAGAGGATGTGAAGTCTGTCGCGCAGAGGCGGCTCAGCAGTGACCTGCTTGCTCCCTGGATGGCTCGATCGATGGCTTCATCATAGCGCATTGCCTAGCCGTTTTGCCGGCTGAGGCTGAGTCTGTTTTACGAGATCCAGCCAAAGAAGTTGAAAGCCCCTGAGGTAGCTTCGGGTTACTTTGGTTGGGTAGTGTGTACCGTATCTAAGCCGGAGAACCGCAACGTGGTCTGTAGCACCAGGCAGCATCTCGGAGAGGTGTACATCGTGCTTTTGTGTAATGGCGCACACGCAACTCGCCATGGCCGGTGCCGAACAGACGAATTGTTGAAACTCAGGTCCGGCTTGCATTAAGAAATCGACCCGGCATGCCGTGCCGTCTCCCGCTTTGGAGGCCGCGGTCATGTACATGTACGGGGTTCTGAGGCAAAGGGCGGCATCATCCTCGGCACCTTGGCGGGGTGACCCTCGGAGGCGGATTATCCTCTCAACGACGACGCCGTCCGGCCGGTGTTGACCGAACTCCGTCTCTACCGGCTCTCCTACTCATGCAGATTGCGTTGCCAGGCGCAGCTTGAGGCCTCCTCACTTGTCTCATTGGTCCGAAGCGGCCTCCCAGAAAGATCACACGCCAATACAACTAGCCATGATAATACCGCATGGGCTCCAGCTCCGTCCGGACCAGCTCATAAGGAGGGGCTCCGCTGTCCTGGCAGCGGCAGCGTGCCTGTCGCTCTACCTGCTCATCCGACCAACGCTGTCGCCCCGGACCAAGTCGCCCAAAGCAAACATTGTGCGCGTGAGGAACCGCTCGGGAGTCGACCCGGCCGACCCCGAAAAGCCGGCGCCGTACCCCCCGGACCTGTTCCCGGGCGGCAAGGACGTCGAGACGGTGTACGGCACCGTCCGGGTGTTCGAGTGGGGGCCCGAGGACGGCGACAAGGTCCTTCTGGTGCATGGCATCGGCACGCCGTGCATTGCGCTGGGCGGCATGGCCTGGGAGCTTGTGCGGAAGGGGTACAGGGTGATGCTCTTTGGTACGTTTGAGCTTGTCTGTTTCTCTCCTTCGTATTGGGGCGGAATTTGTGCATCGTCAGGGGTTGGGAAGGGGGGAGGGTCTGAAGTTTCAACAGCGAACGTTTCTCTTGCTTACTGCTTACCACCCGCGGGCCGCCACGCAGATCTTTTCGGGAGAGGCTACTCTGACGGCCCGTCGAACGTGGCTTACGATGAGTGTCTTTACACCACGCAGATCCTCCTCGTCCTGGCCTCTTCGTCGCTGCCCTGGACCGGCGCGTCTTCCTTCTACCTTGTCGGCTATTCGCTAGGGGGTGCTCTCGCTGTCGCCTTTGCGGCGTACCACTCCCACATGCTGCGCTCCCTCACCGTCGTCTGCCCGGGAGGCCTCGTGCGCACGTCGCACCTCGGCTGGAAGAGCCGCCTCATGTACTCTCACAACCTGCTGCCCGAGTGGCTCCTCCGGCGCTGGGTGCGAGCGCGCATCGAGCCGCAGCACGGACAGAGCGCGGACGTGCCCGACGGCGACGAGGCAGAGGTCAACTTTGACGACGTGCCCATCTCCGTCGTCATCGCCGGCGGGAGGGATAAGAGCAAGAGCACCACTACCACCGCCGTCGTACGGGTCGGGGACGTCGTGCGCTGGCAGCTGGCCGCCAACCCGGCCTTTGTCGACGCGTACATGAGCACCATTCGCTACGCGCCCATCTACGGGCAGCATGACAAGGTGTGGGCCGTCTTGGGCGAGAAGCTCGCTGCGAACAGGGAGCTTGGCGGCGTGGGCGGACTGCTGCAGCGGGTGTGCGTCGTCTTGGGCGATCGGGATACGCTCATCATCAAGGACGAGTGGATCGAGGACACGAGGGCTGTTCTGGGCGAGGATGGCGTGGATGTGCGTGTGATTCCGGGGGGCCATGAGATTGCCATTTCAAAGGGCAAAGAGGTTGCTGATGCTGCCGTTTCGTCGTGGAAGAGCAGGTGATATGGTGGTGGTAAAGCGTTCCAAGAGCAGTGGGAGTGGCAGTGGCAAGTGTGGGAGAGAGACGAGGTCCAAGAGGTAATAGATATAGAGATTAGAAGTAGAAACTAGAACCGGAATATAGAAGATTACCTGGAAAAGACTAAACGCTCGTTCGATTGATATGCGTGAGGATCATGTATTCCAAACAATACATCCCTCTGCCCTGAACAAGCCATTGGACAAAACCCCCCTTGGCCCCTTGTACTCCAAAAGAAAGGCCCCAGAGATTATGCCAAACCAACGCCAATTAGTGTATATAGGGGAAAATAGAATAAAACGCCAATCAGTACAAGTCAAACACCCCCCCCCGGCGCGTGTGAAAATGTCGTTGAAAAGAGCATATGTTTGTCGATACTCCTTCAGTCCTCATGATAACAGTGGGTATCAGTTCCGCTTTCCCGTAGTTTCTACGCTTCACTGCCTTGGGCTATCCAGCTCCGTGGCTCGTTCAACGAGGTGAATGTTCCTCGTGTTGAATTTCCTGGATTCTCCCCTGGCTACCGTGGTTCGTCGCCTGTATGCCATGATCCATTCGATGGTCGCCATGGTCCGTTGCCTGGTTGCCATGACCCATATCCTGGTTGCGGTGGTTCGGTTCTCGGCGGCCATGATTGAAATGTTGGCTGCCATAGTTCATTACCTGGTTGCCATGGTTGGATGATCGGCTGTAATGGCTGGGCTCCCAGCTGCCATGACTGGGTTGTCGGCTGGGTTGTCGGCTGCATCGGTTGCACCCCCGGTTGCCACAATCCATTGCCCATTTGCTGCAGCACCTGTGCCGGCGGCCATGGTTGCATAGTCGGCGGCCATAGCGGTTCGATCGGCTGCGACACCTCTCCCCCAATCGCTGGAAAAGGGAGAGGGGGAGGCAACGGTACGGGGTTGGGCACAAGTCCATCAAGCTGCTTCCCCGACTTGGCCTACTTGTCAAGATTCCGAGCTTTGACGAACCGGTTGATTTGCTCCCTAGTGAGCTTGTCGTTGTACTGCTCGAAGCACTCGTAAAAGGATATAATCTCCTGTGTCGCGTCCACCATGGCGGCAATGTCGACGTCGCTCTCCGCCAGCCACGCGGCGAAATGCTGCACGCGGGTAATCCTGGCCTCCTGCACGCGCTCCTTAACCTCGGGCATCGACGGGATCTCGGACAGGATCCCGCCCTGGCCTGACCGAGCGGTGTGTGCCTGGCTCAGGGCGGCCTGTGCGGCCGCGAGACCGGCCGCTGCGGCGGAACCCGAGGCCTGTCCCGGAACTGAAGAGTTGGGGCGGAGGACGAGAGCCAGGAGGATTGCCACCAGCGCGACGATGTGCGGCGGGCAGAGAAACGGCAGGTCCGTCATGTAGTGGTCGTTGATGATGGACTTGGCGAGCTGCACGTCTTCATCAACCAGGGACAGCTCGGGGCGCAGGGCAAGCAGGCTTCGGTAGGGTTGATGCACGATGAGCTGGGAGTTCATCTCGCTGATGAGGAAGAACTCGCATTCCCCAATCTTGGAAGTGTCCAGTCCGATGAAGTCCTGCCAGAGCTGCCTCGCCTCGGTGACGATGAGGCGGATGTGCTGCGGCGCTTCCTCCATCTTGCAGGCCAGGTAGATGGCCGTGGTGATGACGAGATACGGGTTGGTGCGGCGGATCTCGACTTTGCTGTAGAAGCGCTTCAGATAGACCTGCGCAGTGGCCATGGCCTGCTGGCGGATGGTGAGGCGCTTTCCCAGCCTCAGCAGCTCTGGGCAGACGGGTTAGCAGGCTAGGACGAACAATGACGGGAAGATGAACCACCCACGTTGGTTGAAGTAGATGGCCATGTGCCTCGGCTGCGGGAGAGGAAACATGCGGACGAGGTCGGCATTCTCCTCCTCCAGCTTCTGGCGCATCGAGGCCAGCTCATCTTTGGTGAAGAGCCAGTGCCGCCTCTGCGTCGACTCCCAGTAGTTGGCGGACATGGCTGAGGAGCCGGAGCCGCGGAGGCGCCCGTATTGAGGCCACTGAAAGATGCGATGATGCTCGGAAGAAAAGACCAAAATTATGTTATCTAATCAGCCTGATGATCTGATGATGGTTTTGGCTGAACCGAGGTCTCAGTGCCGTCGTCTTGAAGTTGGGTGAGATGGAAGCAGCCTGGAAGCGCGGCAGCTGTCGGGCCACTGAATGGACATTGAATCTAGCACCCGGCAAGGCTGCGGGGCGATAAGCGACGGGCCTTGATCTGGGCTGAGAGCCTTATCGGGGCCCCCTATTGCTCAGCGCTGTGATCCCCTAGCAGCGCCTGGAAAGCTCATTACGTAGTGGCCGTCTGGCCCCCCCAACCACAGCGCAGGTATTGACTTCTCCCCAAGATCCGCATCCAATCCTGCTGCACCGAAAGCTACGACGTCAGCAGCTGGCAAAGGCCCGCAATCTTTTCTCGAGCTCAATTGGCATCGCCCTGCCAGACCGCAACCCTGCAAGGTCTCGACGATGAGGCTGAGATAGCACTCGAAACGACAGTTACCACCTTGATCAAGACGACGCGCCCGCACAACCGCCATCCGCCCCCTCGCTCGGCTTCGCAATAGCCGCCTCGACAGTCGCCCTTTTGAGACATGCCATGCCACAGCCATGACAATGACACCGTCAAGCCCGGCGACCGAGGTGCAGAAAGCTCGCGAGCTGGAGCAGCGTCAGAAGAACCCTGATCGCGTCGAGAGCCTCTGGGCGCAGCTGGGCCCCAGTGCCAACGGCGAGCTGGACCTCAAGGGCCTGCAGAAGGGCTTTCGCAAGATTGACCACCGTGAGGACTTTCTTTTCCTTTGTCTTGTTCTCTCCATTGTCTTTGCTTGCGCATCTTTTGCGCATTCCGCCCCGCATTTATCTGGTATCGAGATGTTGACTTTTTTTTCTCTCTCTGTTTGCGTTTGTGCGAACAGCTCTGAAGAATGCGGATGCCATGCTGAAGAAGATTATGACCGAGGTCGACACGAATCGCGATGGGAAAATTCAATACGAAGGTACGTTGCGCGCAGTCCAGCTGTCCTGGCGCATGGCCAAGAGCTTTGGGCGTTGTGCCTGTGCCGCTGAGCAGGCCTCCCTTGCGCTTATCGAGCTAGGTACTTGATACGGCAACTAACGAGGCTTTGCTCCCTTTTCGCAGAGTTCCGAGTTTTTGTACAGAAAGCTGAAGGCCAGCTTTTTGACCTGTTCAAGTCCATCGATCGCGACGGCAATGGGAAGCTCGACAAGGCGGAGCTCCAGACGGCTTTCAAGGCTGCGGGGTTGACTGTCTCAAACCGCAGGCTGCACGACTTTTTCAGCGATATGGACCAGAACAACGACGGATACGTCACGTTCGACGAATGGCGGTAAGTGAAGCAGAGGGATGTCTCTTCAGTCCCTACATATGACATTGTTTGGGGTCTTGTTTTATCTCCATTTGGGCTGGATCGCTTGTCAGGCGCACACTCGTTAGGGGTCATGTGCCTCGGTCTTGGGTCGGGCGAGTGAGCACGCCCAGCACCACAAGACCGGTTTCCCCTGAAAACCGCCAGCAGGTGCCTGGTTTGCCCCTTGGGATGTGCCCCTCGCGGGGAAAAGCCTCTCAGAGAGGGCAGAGAAGACATTTGACAGCTGACCGGACAACCACAGAGACTTCCTCCTTTTCATGCCCGGCAACCAGGATGCGTCCCATCTCCACGCGGTCTTGTCTTTTTACTACTCGGTGGTTAATGTCACGCCAGAGGGAGACTCTCTCGTGAGTGGAGAAACACTGGAAGGCTTAGGTAGGGCCGGCTCCTCTAGCTCTTTTCTTCAAATCCTCTTCGGCTCTCTTCTCCGAGTCGCCTTTCCTTCGTCCTATCCGAAGCCACCTCCAGAGCTTCCATTACCTCCGCCGCCACCTCCCGCGCAAGCTGCTGGGATAGTTGAGCCGAAGCTCGAAGCGCCGGTCAAACATGCAAGAGGAAGCTTTGTCGACGCAACGGCGCATGCGTCTTCTCACAGGATTTCAGAAGTCGAACAGGGCCCGTCAGGGGCAGGGGCAAGGGCAGCGGCGGATGCTGTTGTACACTCCGACGGCGATGGCACCTCAGTCGAGCACCGTGAAGAGTCCTCTACCGGAGCTACACCGACGCTGAAGAAATACAAACTGACAGACTTTGCCCCCCATCCAGGTTACTTCCTTGCGGGTGCCATCGCCGGTGGAGTGTCGCGGACGGCCACAGCTCCGCTCGACCGATTGAAGGTCTATCTGCTCGTCAATACCAACAGCGGAGCCGAGACGGCCGTGCAAGCGCTGAAGCAAGGCCGTGTCATTGATGCGCTTAGGAATGCGGCGCGGCCCTTTAGTGAAGCCGTCAAGGACTTGTACCGGACGGGTGGTGTGCGCAGCTTCTTTGCCGGTGAGTTTATCTGTTTCTCGACAGCAACGCTTTTACTCCCTTTGCTTCCAGTCGATGGGCTCTAGCAGTACAATTTGACCTGACACTTATGGAAAGGCAACGGATTGAATGTCGTCAAGATCATGCCAGAGACGGCCATCAAATTCGGATCGTACGAAGCGGCTAAGCGCGCGCTGGCAAATTTTGAGGGCCATGGAGATCCCAAAAACATCAACTCGTACTCAAAATTCATCTCTGGTGGTCTGGCTGGAATGATTGCCCAGTAAGTCATGGCTGGGGCCTCTGTCAAGGTCGATAAAACATCAGGCGTTGTCCTGGGTTGCTAATCATCTGGACGTTGCAGGTTCTGCGTCTACCCTCTTGATACTCTCAAGTTTCGCCTTCAATGCGAGACGGTCAAGGGTGGCCTCACGGGCGGCGCCCTTCTGCGACAGACGGCCGTGAAAATGTATGCAGATGGCGGTCTGCGAGCCTGCTACCGGGGTGTCACCATGGGATTGATTGGCATGTTCCCATACAGCGCCATCGATATGGGCATGTTTGAGTTTCTCAAGAAGACCTACCGGATACGGTATGCGAAATACGCGGGCTGCCATGAAGACGACGCTCAGCCCGGCAACATCGCGACGGGCATCATCGGCGCAACATCCGGAGCCTTTGGCGCGTCGGTTGTCTACCCACTAAACGTGGTCCGAACACGGCTGCAAACGCAGGGCACCTTGATGCATCCTCAGACCTATACGGGCATCTGGGACGTCACGCGGAAGACGATCCAGCACGAAGGAGTCCGAGGCCTCTACAAGGGCCTGACGCCAAATCTTCTCAAAGTCGCCCCTGCGTTGAGCATAACGTGGGTGGTGTACGAGAACGCGAAACGCCTTCTCGCATTGAACTGATTGAAACCTGCTTCTCTCAATCACGCATCGACTCAGCGGGAGTATAGAAAGGATATGATGATACCACGCACGCATCGTTTATTGCATTAGCATTGCCATCTCATTTGTCGGACATAACGGTTGGTTGGTTGGTAGCGAGCTTCATTCGCATTTGGATGGCCCCCGCAACGTGCGTCTGAGCACGGGAAGGAGGCCAGATGAGTATTTTGTTCCAGGCGGGTCGTACGGCGGCATTGACCGGCGGTCACGTACTCGTTTCAAAGGCTTGGATGTGATGGATCACGAAGTCCATTCTTGCACATCATTTAACGCCTTGGGCGGCGGGGAAGGATAAATAAACGAAGGATATTTAGAGAAGGGAGAGCTGGTGTTGGAACTGATGCTTCAACCCGCGGATCATGACGAGGAAACCATACGACACGAGCAAGTGTCTGCAATCTAGCTACCATGTATAGATTCTGTAAGAAGTCAACAACGAAAGCATTTGAACCAAAAGACGCAGCCATGGAGAAGGAGAGATGATGACGGGTCGCCCATATGTGAGGCCCTCATTCGGGGTCGGTACCCGGAAAAGTGGAGAGGGGAGGCTCCGTGACCGGCAGCAAGGGCCGGGGGAGCTGCTGGAGCCGGACATGTTGGCCGAGCCCTTTCTGCTTTTGATTGCTTGGACATTACATAGCTCAGCTGCGGCAGGGATGATGATGCTTGTTTGTACAAGTAAGTGTAGCCAGAATGGAGTGGCAGATCAGCCGCTGGCCGTGGTGGACAGACTCGCACGTAGTTGGTCAGCGTTGTTATCAGATCATGTCGGTGTCGATGAAGATGACGAGCGCTTCATCTCGGGGTTACGTGCTCGCTTACGCCAGCCCCCCCTTCGGCGGCAAAAGAACAAACAAGTCAAAAGGGATCATTACCCGGACTAGATTTTGGGGTAGAGGATGTATTCTGTAGCACGTGCAGAGATTGCTCCTCTTTGGGCCGTAGCGAGCTTACTATGGCTTCATGACTGGTGATGGCTTTCTTTCCTTGTTGGCTTTTCTGTTTCTTGAGTCGGGGTTACTAGATGGGTCGTTTACTTAGATAGCTTGAGAGGTGGTAGGTGGTGGTTGATTGTGCTCTTTGTGGCGGACGGGATTGAAGGGGACTTTTGCAAGGGCACTACGTGCTAGCGGATGGGCTGGGGTTGGCATGGCATGGCATGGCATGTTGCGCCTTTTGAGTGACTCTTTTGCTGCCGTCTGTCTGTCCGTGTCTCTGGTTCATCTGGGCTGATGTACTGGAAAGCAATTGGGGAGCCGTCAGTTGTCATTCAGTAGGCCTTTTAGTTGTAGGTAGACCTGATATCGCTGTAAGTTGCTGTATGTATGCGTTCACGTCAGGTACCTTAATGGTGGGTTTTCTTGGTCAGCGGCTCGCCTTTATCGCATCGTGGGTGAGCGGATCGGAAGGAGCAACTGGGGCATGGAGGTGTGGAGAGGCGGAGAGGAGACGAGCCTGGAACTGAAGGAAGGAAGGAAGCCCAGGACATGGGAAGTACCTCGAAGGGACTTGGAGGACAGGTTGATCAGACTGCTGCTAATGTATCTTGCTTGTACTGCAGCTTATCCGGCTCTTCGTCGACTCAACACCACCTTTCGCTTCTTCTCTCTCTCTCCTTCAGCCTCTCCGCTCTGCCCTCTTTCTACTTCATCTACTCTGCTTGTCCACTGAGTGAGGCGCCTGGCAGAGGACAAGACGAGGCGTCGGCTTCATCAGCTAACGCGCGTCTGTTGGCAGCCAACTCGTCACTGCGAGCTCTTCTATCCGTGGTGCAACCCACTCTGCATCACCATCGCCTCACCCGAGAGCCACACAGACATAGACATACATACAGCAGACAGGCGTTCGTCAGCTCTCGCTGCGCTTCTGTTCCGCCTTCTCCATCCTGTCGCATCCGGCCGCATCTCCCCGCTGGAGCCTGGAGCAATGCCGGCCCCGTACTCGGACGACCTCTACTCCGGGGACGACAACCCCTGGGATGACCAACAGGAGCAGCATGACGATGCGCTATCGCCTACTGACGGCTACTTCCACGCGTCGTCGTCGTCTGGCCTAGAAGAGGCCGCAACGTCATCGCCCGTCCCCCCGTTGCGCCAGCAGCGCCAATCAGCCAGCGTCCCCTTTGTGCCCAATGTCATGGTGGAAGACCCGACGCTGCAGGAGGATCGTGCCGCTGCAAAGGCCAGAGAGGCTGAGGAGGAGAGGCTGATAAATAGTCCCTCTGCTGGCCAGTCGTCGCCTCTCGGTGATAGCCAGCCTCATCGCCAGACCTTGCCGTTTACTCAGGGGCAAGCTGGCTTGTACCATCCCTCTCACCCTTCTTACTCCTCTCACTCCTCCTCCCAGTCACGCCCTCACGTTGCCACATACCCCCATCATCACTCAGCATCGGCTTCGGCGTCTTCGTCATCCCCATCTTCTTCTGGCCACTATCACAGACGGAGCATTGACGAGGAGATATCGACGTTTCAGCCTACAAGTGCTGCAGGCCCGTCGCTCAATCAGTATACCATCCATCACCCACCGCCGGCTGAAGCACCACCTGCCTACTCCCCTCCCGCTTCCTCCCTGCCGCTGTCGTCCGGCTATCAGACCTTTGCACCTCCACAGGCCGGTACGCATCCTGGAACCATGGGTGTGCCTGACGAGAACCAGACACTGCTTCCACGACAGCCCGAGTCTATGGGTGGAGCCGTCAACGGAGCTCGGGAACCTCTGTGGCAAAGGATTAAGAACAAGTTCAGCTCTTCCCTCACCAGGAAGAAGATTCGGACAGCCCTTGGTGTCCTCTTGGTCATCTCCATCATACTTGCCCTATTTGGTAGCACCATTGGTGTACACAGCCACAAGGTGAGTCAATCATCCTATTCCATCGTCATGAAGAATCAATGAAAGGGGTCCTGCGGAGCAAGTGGTATATATGATCGTCTAACATCGTCATCTAGAAGCCTGGCCTCATCGACAAGTCGCCCGTAAAGGCTCCTCCGTCTAACAAACCTCCTCCCAACATGTCGTGGCCCCCGAGGAACAGCAGAGACTGCTTGGGCGAGCCTCACAGGTCTTCCAAGATCAACGAGGTCATCAGTTTTGGCAACAACAAGAAGCTAAGCATCGTCGAGACAATCGAGAAGGACGGTGGAAACCGTCGCGGGCTCCAGCCACATGTGTACGGCGAGATCATCTTACAACCAGTTGACACCTCTTCCACCGGCAACATTCAGCTCGAGATCGTGACGAATGACGAGAATTTGCACGTTGGCGTTGAGTTTGATAAGCGAGATCAACGGTTCAAGGTCATCATTCCCCGTGTGGTCGAATGGAGCGAGCCAAACCTGCAGCCGTGTGTACAGATTCGAATCACAGTATTCATTCCCCTTGAAGCTCAGCTCGACTCATTTCTCGTCGACTCACTCCATCTCGACGTCACCGTCAGGGATGGCCTCGTCCTCAGCTCTGCCAGTGATGCCCAGATTAAAACCGTTGTGGGAGACGTCAACACCGGCCGCGTATCAGGAGATGTGGCGCCGTACACTCTGGCCTCGCGAAGCATCATAATCGAGACTGTTAGCGGCGATGTCGAGGGCTGGTTCCCCCTATACGACCTTCTCAAGATCCACACCGTTTCTGGCGACGTCAAGACTGACGTCACCCCGAAGCCGTCGTCTGACAAGAAGCCTGAACAAGCTGTGCTCAACATCGACTCCATTTCTGGGGATATCAAGGTGACGGAGCCTGTGAGCTACGGCCCCGATAGCGAACGCGACGACAGGTTCCCGCCGCGAGACTATGTCGTTGGCATATCGACTTCCTCTGGCGACATCCAGGCCGAACTGGCTTTCACCTCAAGGGCCAAATTCGAGACAGTATCCGGAGATCAAAGGGTGAAGCTGCTGCCAGTTTTCGGCTCTGGCTCCTCGGAACCCTTTCTTTCCACCGACACCAAGAGTGGACAGACTACCTTGACGGTCGCCGAGCCACTGTGGAAGAACTCTGCCGCCAGCATCGGCGACTATGACCCATTGGCACCATCCGTCCGCGAGGGTGATGACGAGGATCGCGATGAGCCATGGATCATCATCCACCCCGACGAGCAGCCCAGAAGGCTTCCCTCGCCGCCACACATGGACCTGAAGCCAGGCATGGCTACAACTGATGAAGACGACAAGCATGGTTTGATCAACCTCAAGTCTCACCACGCATCCGTCAGTGGCGACTTTAGGCTCGACTATCCCTCCTCGTGGGAGGGCAAGTTTGCCATGACTACCTTTTCTGGCTCACAGGACATTCGAGGAGACGACCTGGATTATAAGCGGGCCAAGGGCATCATCAAGCGGATCGACGGCACCAAGGGCCATGGCCAGTCGAGCATGACTGTCGACTCCATGTCTGGTCGTGAGGAGCTTGTGTTTGGGAGTGCTTGAATGATGAGTGAGAACAGATTATTGATAAGATGATACCAGGGGGGGGGGGAGGGGAACAAGATGAAGGACGATGTCGGTGATGAATGGCAGACCTACAACTCCATTCAATGGAGAGCAAAGGGTCGTGTAATGAGCAAGGGTGATTGGGTGGAATTTGATATCGAAGCGTGAGCATATGAACGATTTGTTGGATGAGATTATGACTATGGGCGTATTGAAGTTTCGGGACCTTTCTTTGCCAGATACCTACACTCCTTGTCGTCATGAGCACATTTGCATGGCCACATCTTCTTCTATCATTATTATTCTATCTATAAGACATGTCGTGTGAGTCAAGTCAAAAATAGTGTAACGTCTTATATATTCTAGCTATCGAAAGTTTGACTGATAAATGCATAAAAAGCCATGCCTCGCATGATCATTAAGACGTCTGCTTGTCTACATAAACTATGCTTCTCGTATATGCTGCTTAACAAAGCCTCCAAGAGGTAAGAAAGGACGGGTCCAAGAGGTAAAAAAGGACATTGTTGCTCATCTTTTTCCTGACTGAACGAACAAGTAGAGGGTATCGGCGAAACTTATTATAACCAAAAAAAGACGAAACAAACAAGGATAAAAATATAAGAAGACCAAACAAGGAGAAAAAAGCCAACCCATTAGTTTTCATGTGATCCAGTCAACCATTTCCTTCATCCCATCAGAATATGTGTCGTCGTCGTATCAAACGTTATATTACGTCGTTCCATCTCGTTTCTTATCTTTCCGCTCATTTCAACTCCCCCTGGTGTGCGGTGCTATGCCGAGCATATATGCCAAGAGACAAACGTTCGATATCAAACACACACATATACATGTCATGTGGCAGACCTCGTCTCTGCTGTATATAAAGCAGCTGGGCATTTCTCTCATGCTTATTTTTTTTTTTTTTTTTTTTTTTTTTTTTTTTTTTTTTTTTTTTT